GCGAGCCTCAGCAGTAGATAGTCCGCTGCTCTCTGCAGTGCGTGCTTCAGCGCGAACATGTATGCAAGCGCGTCTTTTGATTTCAACCAATCAGCGCCAACGCAAATGACGTCACAGACGACAACAGCTAAGCTAAGTTAGCCGAGACGACACTATGTCGGACGGACACGATTTTCTGCCAATCTGTGTTTTTCCCTTTTTGGCCAAATATATATTTTACGACAACTGTCTTGTTGACGGCGTCTTTTATTCGTTCCACTGGGGTTTAGCGGGTGTGTTTATAAAGAGACGAAAATTGTTTGGGGACTATCCCCCACGTTGTAGTTGAGATGGTGTAACCCAAGAGGCAAAATGACGCTTGCTACTGTTGTTGCGAGTTGCCATTCGTTCTACTGAACCATTAGTCAAACGCCATCATGTCTTCTGTCGTTATTACACAAACAAAAATCTCTTTACTGTTACTAGTGTTAGTGCCTCAATATGGCTACGCTCATGAAAGCAATACAACGAACTCAAACGCGTCTTCGTTCAATGTTGTCAACTGATATCCGGATTAATTTTATGCAAATTTTCCTCAATTCTCCGGAGAAATTTTCATAAAGATTTGAAAAACCCGTAATTCCGGGAAAATCCGGAGGACTTTCATCTCTGATTAAAACAAAAACTGGTCGGGTGATGACACAAACCTCAAAAATTCATACAGTAAATCCTTGTATCTCAAGGCACCACTGTATTTATTTGCCATCTTACTCATAATTATAAATCAAGTGTGTAATTTCATTGCTGCTAAATAATGGAGATAAGGGAAGACTTACCGTAATGAATCATAAGAATCGGAGAATCCGTTCACATCCACATCTTTCACGATACTCCAGTCAAAGACCAGACCTGCAAGAGTGCTGAAGGTGTTTCCTGTAAGAAAAATGAAAAGCACAAGAGTCATGCTCGACTTCTACTTATACTCAAACAAGTGAGTGAAGAAGAAGCAAGTGGGTATGAAACAGGTGGAATTGAGGGTATTTGCATATCCGGCGGGACATGACGGATGTTGAGCGCACCCATCTGACAGCTGAATTGGCCAGTATGAAATTAATAAGCATTTGATTACAGAATCCTCCACATTCTTTGATACGCTACTTCAAATAATGACTGTAAAGGCCAAAGTCAATGAATCAAAGCATAAAACCTGATACCGTACAACAGAGGTCACCAACTGTTTTGAAACTGAGAGCAACTTCTGGGGTATTGATATTATGCAAAGTGTTACGAGTTTGAAACACCTCTGACACAACAAATTTGATCAAATTAAGCTATAATTTTATTCATCTACGTGAAGACGTGTTAATAATTTCGCTCAGCAGCCAAATTATCAACCATGATTTATCAAGGCAGGAAACACTTCATTTCTATAAATTTCTGCAAGTGTGTTTATATTTTCACAACAGACCAGCGGGCTACTCATGTGGTCCATCGTGCACGGTGGCACCATATTGGTGACCACACTGCCCTAGAGCCTGGAACAGAAAACATCAGACTGCAGCCACAGTTCATTTAGTGACATGACTTTGACTTTAACACAACTCAGGGACAAAAGCAAACACGACCAGGTCATCGGCACAGCCCGAGGGGATCCAACATTTTAATTGATCAAGATATTAAAATTGGTTAATCTTTACAGCAGCAACATATGAGTGTGATGATAACACAGAGATGCAAACGGTAGATAAATACTTTACATTGATCAAGACTAGCGTGAGCGTGTCAATTAGCTTGGCGAAGGCAGAACTTAGCAGAGCAGCAGCAGGCTTTTATGAGAGGAAGCTTATCTCATGGGCACCTTCAGAGTCCAGCGCATGAATTTCGAGTGCAAGGGGGGAATCCTCCAGGTGTAGTTCTCTGGTGGTGGACACAATGGTGACATCATAGATCACGTCGACGATTGCATCGCAGCGCAGTATCTGTCCTGTCACTGTGAATGAAAGAGGCCAACCCACTTTACACACAATGGGTGTCACAACTAGATCAGCGCAAATGGGTTTGAGCTGATGAAAAGCATTGAAATGTGCTTGCATCATGTAGTGTATTATATACTGTCGCTTTGATTTGATCAAGGGCAGGAGAAGCATGTTTCGGAAAAAAAGATTAGCCGTTTTTATTCGCAATGCACATTTCAAGATGCCATCACAGCATAATGACTTTTGTGGCTTTAAAAAAAAAAAAAAAGTACATAAACAGGGAAGGAAAGGTTGTGCAATATTAGAATGATTTGATGATTGTGCAGATTTTCTCCACTAAGTACAGCACAGTGGAGTTTTCAATTGATACTTACCAACATCTTCAGCCAGAATGATGCTGGTCAATCTGGAGGGCTGCGTGGAAAGAGCTTGAAGAACCGCTTTCCTGGAGCAGCCTTGGCCCGTCTCTTCGTCAATGGGCTGGACACTTGCAACTTCTGGTCGAGTTGATGTCCTGGAAAAATATGAGTACAGGATTCCCTCACTTTTTGCGGGTGATGCGTTCCAAGCCCCCATCCCCACAATAAATTAACTTTTAAAATGCAAAAGGCAGAATGAATACTGAACTGTTCATTAAAATATGTAATATCACCTGATCACCTGATCATCCTTCAGAAAAACATTTCAAACATTCAGGAGGAAATTTACAGTGAAAACCTTTCCCAAAAGACACTGAACGCTGCAATAGCGCTCAATCACTACTGTGTTTCATTTTCTCTGTTTCATAGTCTTGAGCAGGGGTGTCAAACATACGGCCCGCGGGCCGGATCCGGCCCGCAAAGGAGTTTAATCCGGCCCGCGAGATGATTATGTAAAGCATGGTGTCAAACATACGGCCCGCGGGCCGGAACCGGCCCGCAAGGAGGTTCAATTAGGCCCGCAGGATAATTTAAAAGTGAAAAAAATGCATTAAAGACAGAATTAATATTTTTAATAAGGTGCAATTCATTGAGTATCCGCAAGGGGACACTGTTTTGATCAGAGAAGAAGACAACAGCAGCCTCAGTCCGTCACTGTTGCAGACCCATGACAGCAGACGCTATCAATAGCACTCTCCTTAGTTTGTAAGATTACATTTAGATTTTATATGCACGTGTAAATGGTTTAAAACTTCCTTTCTTGATGAATCTCGTTTAATCTTAAAGTGCATTACTATATTTTTCAATACCAATTACTTGTTAATGTTTGTAAAATCAGTGGGATTATTTGCAATGCATATATGTGAATGATAAAAGTAAATTGCACATTTGTCGAAGGAAATGTAAGGTGCTTCATGAAATATTTTGTAAAAGATATGTTCATTAAATTTCAACATTTTCCTAATGTTCTTGTGCTTCTTTATACCAAAACAAAGGAAAGACATTGTTTTGGTTATTTATAGCAAAGTATGGTATCATTTTAATGGTCCGGCCCACTTGACATCTACCGAGGCCGTATGTGGCCCACCATGTGAAATGAGTTTGACACTCCTGGTCTTGAGGTTTGACATTTCTGCTTCCAGGACAGCAGCTTCTGAGATATGGCCAAAAAAAAACCCCCAAAAAAACAACTGTTTCCTTCTTTTCCTTCTTTCAAGCCTTAAATTTCCAGTGTTTGTAATTTCTTCTCTAAGAGACTAATCTAAGGCTATTATGAATGGATGAGAGTCCTCACCATTCGTGTACTTTTTCGCAAGGTTACTCCCTGGAAGGAGGTAGTTGTTGCTCGTATAGAGCTCAAATGTACACGAACAAAAGCGACAGAACTAAAGTTCAGAAGCACAAAGAGAGTTGTGCTAGCGAGAGATATTTTTCGGGCTATTTCGGTCACACAACTGTCTCCCTCAAAATCACTCTCACAGATGCTGTGTCCACGTGCAGGGGGATGCAATATGACACCTTTTGACTACCTTTTTCTCTGCACTCACCATCTGTAGCAGCCCTCAGTGGTTTCCAGTGTGAAGTTAATTCGTGTACTTCTGGCAAGGGGCAGGAGCACTTTGGGCATATTAAGCTTGGAGCAGCCACAGTTTTGAAAGACGCCTATTAATGACAGCAAAAGAACCGCCGACTGCATTTCCGTTCAATGTGACTTGTTGGTCGCGAAACTACAATGAACAGAAACGACAACAAACTTGTTTCGCCTCATGAAAATGTTGTACGGTGTCGTGGTTGTCTATTTCCGTCATGGGAAGAAGCGTACTGGTCAACTCAAAAAAAGTGCACCGGAACCGAAGCTAACAGAAGCCGAGAACCCGCCATTTGCAACTATTGGACTTGAGAGCATGCGGATAGTGCGGAAACGTCCCTCACCAAGAAGAATGACGCGTTTTCTTAAAGGTACACTGACGTTTGCGCTGCGTCTGTCATTGTAATACCTTGATTTTGTCAAGCAGCATTTCCTATCTGGTGCAATTCCTCAAGAGTGCAGTATCATGGAACTTTTTTTAAAGGTCACGTTCCGTCAAAATCCCTAACATAGGTCAAAATGAGTCGGTGACCTGGTTTCAGTTTGACATATCTGCTGTTTGTTGATTGCATGCATTAAAATGCACAAAAGTACAAAACGACTCCATCAGATATTGATGTCATTCTGAACGCAGAAGACACACAACTCATTATTCAGTTACATGCCCAATTACCCACTTTGTGGTTGCAATGCTACATGCCTAGTCATCTCAGAAAAAGTGGCTGAGCAACAACTCAGCTCTGTGTTGAGCAAAGGTTTAACTTTGCATCACCTGCCAACATCCAAGGAGTGGAGGAATGAATGGCGTCCATTTATTTTGGGAGACCCCCAAGCATTTCAACACATTTTGTGGAGGATAGTTTCTTAACACGCATTACCCAACTATCCCCATCAGCCCAAAGTAGGCCTACTCTAAAAGTAATATTTAACTGCAATGCATCACCAACACATTTGGACAACGCTATCATGACCAGTCAATGTCGACTGTCTCAAGACCGTCTAAACCCAGTTCAGGTGGGCGAACCTTCCAATGCCTGGCGAATTCTGCTGCTTCACAATGACTGTCAAGGCTGACACCGAAAGGTCAAAACATGACTTTGTTCGGAACTCTCAGCCAACACAAGATGCACAAATATAGTGTACGACCAAAAAGAACAAAGCTGTCTTACATTTTCAATTTACAGAGAATAGTAGAGCATGCAATGGGGATCCTGGGCATTTTTCACCTTACAAACCCAATAAAAGGATTTTTTTAAAAGTATGGCATTGAACCTTTATGGCGGCACGGAAGTCCAGTGGTTAGTGCGTCGGCCACAGTGCAGAGGTGCAGGGCTCGATTCTGGCTCCGGCCTTTCTGTGTGGAGTTTGCATGTTCTCCCAGTGCCTGCATGGGTTTTATTCGGGTACTCCAGTTTCCTCCCACATTCCAAAAACATACCTTGCAGGTTGATGGGACGTCAATACACACATCTTCAAGCGATGCCTAGCTCTGTTCACTTCTTAGAATTATTTTTTTTGTTTTGTTTTGTTGTTGCACCATTGTGTAAGACAGCTCAAACGTGATGCTTCCTTCCACACAGACTGAGTGTGCGTGCAGTCCTGGGGAGAGGGTCATGCATTCTGCATTGATGTGTTGTAGCATTCAGCCTTCTTTTTCATGAATGCAGTACTGGGTGTAAGATGGATTAATTTGGTCAACATCTTAAAATCCTGTGAGTTCTGATTCTTAGTAGGGATGGAAAAAATGCTCACAATTTGTAGCTGAATGAGTAAAAAAAGTACTCTGGTTAAGGAGAAGTGCTAATTTCACATCTTCAGTAGAAGATAAAAGTACAAACTGAAGATAAAAGTACAAATTGAAACATACTTAAGTACAGAAATGCAAATTATACGTGATTTTTTTTGTTGTACTGTTTGTGCAGTATTTGTTGTTTTAATGACATGGCAAAACAAAAAATACTCTGCAAACAAAATTGTTTTCCTTTTAATGTCTTGCATAGTGCTTGTGCTGAGAAGAAAAACACAATTTTTTTTTAATGTTTGTGTTTTCTCAGATAACCAATCCATCCATCCAGACTGAGAATTTTATTTGGTTAGAAGTTGGTCTTTTTTTTCAGCTGGCTCAAGAGAACGCTTTACAACAAATCAAGTGATTCTCTCGGGTAAAGCATTGGATGGGAAATATCTTGCATCTCCAAATCATCATTAATTCTCCTTGTTCACGTTCTTTATTGTCACTACCGTCTCTTTTCCCCCCACCATAGTTCTTCGGTCTCAATCAAGCTCGCAACCGAGGTTTACATTAACTCTCTTTATTTACATTTATTTTTTTGTACATGGTGTTGTCATCTGTGGAAGTTAAAAATATAACAAGCCTGTCTTGACCAAGTAATGAGTAGAAATTACAGATACCTGTAAGTATAGATGCCTAAAAGATTTGCTGAAGTAGTTACTTGCCACCACTGTTATTACTTTTTACCCACCACGGGAGTTTTTTTGGGGCAACGCAAAAATGAAGAGAGTAATGAAACAAGGCAAAGAGAAGTCTCAACTCATATAATTCTTGCAAAACAAACAGGTGCGACCCCGCAAAAGAACAGGTTTCGCTCGTCAATGTAATGCACCTTTTGTTGTCTACATTTCAAATGTCTTCCCTGTAAACGTGACGGACGAGGCAATATGATGATGCATCCTCGGTGTGATTGCAACGTGAGGTCCTCGTTAATCACAGGAAGATCAAAGTTTAGGTGATGTTTCAGAGTGTTTTTTTTCTTGACGTTTCACAGTGATTGTTAGAATGTTTGCATGTTTTAATGTCCTCCAAAAATCACCCCAAATCCCACTTTACCAAAAAACGAAGGTCACCTCGGGTGTTATTTGGAAACCCGAATGTTTTTGAGCCACACAGATGTGTCTACACAAACACAAACACACACACACACACACACACACACACACACACACACACACACACACACACACACACACACACACACATGCACGCACACACTAAAGCCAACATCTGGTAATAGGCATGTGCGTCAGTGGCAATTGCCAGCATGGAAGTCATTTTCTTCAGATGTGATGGGAGAGTACAAAATCTCTCAGACTTGTAAACCAGAACAAATCCAAGTACTGTATACATGTGCATAAAAACGGTTTGTAACCCTCTCCTAACGAAAGACAAACACACAATAGTCACTGATATAACTCAGATCAGACAAAGGTGATAAAAGATAAAAATGGATCAGGACTGAAAATGAAGAAATAAAAATCAGCGTTTGTTTTTTTAAATTGTGGTGCAACAGAATTATTGTTCGAATGAAACTGGTCCGGAAAAAATGATGTTAGCCTAAATTTACATTTTTGTTGCACAACTGTTAGATGAGGCCCGTTTGACACATAACTTGAGCTAGGCTGTTGCGTCGCTGTGACCTTGCTCCTGGCTCTGTATCTTCCTAACTTGCACACTTACCAGTTGAAACCATTTAAGACCTTGGAGCCACAGTCCAGAGTTCCCAACCCCAGGATTAGGTCTTCTGGATCTGTCAGAAAAGGTCTCCATGTCCCATGTCTCGATCTTCCTGGAATCCATTAAATATTCTTCTGGTAGTGGACTTCACAAGGTATTCGACTGTGTACCTTGGGGGACTCCTGTGGGTGGTGCTCTGGGAGTATGGTGGAGAAGACCAGGAGATAGTCTTCATAACCTTCATGAACAGAATTAGGAGGCAAAACTGTTGTTGTTGAAGGGGTCTTGTTTTATGGCCCATGGATTGTGCCTCTGAATTTTTGTAGGTAATGTGATTCTGTTGGCTCCATGGGACCATGAAGAAAGCTGAGATTGATGCAGCTGGAATGAGAATCAGCACCTCCAAAGCGAAGACCACAGTCCTGAGTCAGAAAAGGGTGGAGCGCCTACATGGGTCAGGGATGAGATCCTTCTTCAAGGGGAAAATTTTCATTATTTGGGGTCTTGTTCATGAGTGAGGGAAGAATGGAAAGGAAGAGAGAACGACAGATGTGTCCACAGTGATGCAGATTCTACAACGGTCTATCATGGTGAAGGGGCACCTAAGAAAACCTTTTCTTACTCGACAGAGTTTGAATCGACTTGGTGTGGAAATTCTGCACCGTGGACTTGATTTCCCTGACTTTAATGGAGCAAGTTGCAGAAAGTGAAGAGATGTAAATGGTCTGTGCGGTACAAACCAGGCGCATTACATTATGGTTGGGTGTCATGAGTCAGAGTAAGTATATTTGACAAAGGTAAGACTTAAAGCCCAAATTCACTTCTGCACATTTCTTACACAAGAAAAACACGGAAGGGGTTTGGATGAAAAAGAAGAAAGGAGAATTGGAGTGCAATTAGAAAACATGACACAGCACACACGGCAACACATGCATAGTTTGCAGCTCATCAAGTGTTCTGAGCTTTGTGGTGTGGACACAGATATTAGTGACATACGCACAGCTTGTTGGACAGCCTGGTATGCTTCATTTACCACATTGTTTGTTTATTGATGATATGCTTTACTGCTTCATGGGTGACTTCACATGCAAGATGACGTTTTATTTTTGCTACTTTTTGTTCAAGGCTGGTGCTTATAAGAGCAGGGCACAGAGGGAAAGGCAGAAGAAAGTGACAGTACAGTACTTCATCTTCGTCACATCACCAATGGGGTGAGGAGAAGGTCAAGTGTTGCTATGCTGAGAAAACATCAGAAAATGAAATATTTAGCACGTGAACAACCGGAGATACTGTGGGGTCAGACTCATGTCTGGCTCTCATCTGACTAAATAGTCAAAGGGTGCAAATTGGAAGGAGAGGATCTTTAAAGACAAATCGCGGGAATTAAATACTGTACTGGAGATACGGTGATAAGGTTTGTTAAACGGGAAGCTGCCAGTGGGAGAATCAGGTGGCCAGCCACAAGTGTACACAGCTCTTGTGTCTTTTAACTTAAAATGTACTTTGTTTCTTTTTCATCACGCTATAGTATACATACTGTACAAAAAGATCCACTGAACTGCCGCTCTGTCCCAGCAACGATCAGGGAGGTGGCGCAGGTTTAGGACACAAACATTCAAATGCTTCATATACCCAGGAAGGAGCAGGAAGGCTCTTTCTCTCTCTCTCTCTCACACACACACACACACACACCCACACACCCACACACACACACACACACACACACACACACACACACACACACACACACACACACACACACTTTCACATGATGGAAAAAATACAAGGCCGTGATGCTTTTCAACACAGTCAACAATAATACGATAATGTACAGGGAACTTATACATTAAAACCATGTGGGAATCTTCAGCTATGATAAAAATAAAACATGAGTCCATCAGAAGATCCTCTTAGGTTGCGCAGAGGAACAAAACATCCTGGCGGACGCCACACGGCGAGCCTATGACGTGGCATTGTGGCGAGGAGGAGGTGTGAGTGAGGATGAGATCGAAGTGGTGTACAGGAAGGACTGCATGGTCCCCTCCACGAAACAAAAAGTGCCAAGGTAAGCAAATTCAAGTAAGTTGTGCTCTTTACACAGGGCGCAGGGTGGGGGGGAGTACGGGAAGGAGGGCGTGTCCACTACTGGCTCTTGCTGTGATCAGTCACATTTGTTGACGCATTCATGGCCGTTTCGCCGCGAGCTGATTTTGAGAGGAGGTCAACCCACTTGGCCTGGAGTTCGGCATCTTGCACACTTAACAGCACAGTTTGCGGACTGTGACTGAGCCGGATTACATGTTTGACCTCTGACCTTTCACCTGAGGACGGCGACGGCGTCGTCACCTCAAAGCCGGACAGGGGCACGGCTCTCGCCCCCTTCAGGTCCTGCAGGGATAAGTGCAACACATTCAGAATCAATCATTTATTTGGAGTTGTAGTCAAAGATGGTGCGAAATGATCATCGTTATTACTTTTTCAAAGTTGGATTTAAACGAGGGCTGTGACTACTGAGCATTTTTAGAATCTAGAATTGATGATTCTATTGATCATTCCATCGATTAATCAGATACAGTTTTTAATATCCACAGATACAGTTTTTAATATCAATTTTTACAGCGTTTTACCAGACCATTTTTTCCCGGTTACTGTTTTTTAACCAGTTCATATGGGTTATATAATAAATGTACACATGTTTTTTAAGCACAGATGAAACTTTTGTAGAGTATTTTTTTGTCCTCAATCACTTTTTATCAAGCACATCGTAGTGTAATAATAATAATAATAATTATTATTATTATAATAATTATATAATAATAATTATAATAATAATAATAATTGTTATTATTATTATTATACTAATAATAATTATTATACTAATAATCATAATAATAATAATGAATAATATATTGATCAATATTTCTGAATTAAGGGTTAGGTTCTGTATCAGGTGGATTTTCTTTTCTGAAACGTCATACATATAAATGACAACGCACAGTTAAATCTGTATTGCGCAAGCTTTTTTTACATCAGATACTGTAGCTCACAAACCTGATGGAAAGACACCTTTGAAATCAGCGTAAACATTTTTACGGACACATAAAAAACATCTTGATTAACCTGTTTTATTGCTGCATTGTTTAACGCAGCAATGTCACATGTGAGGGATTGATGTACTGGGCAGCCGTTTTGGAAATGATTCAGTTGGTGGTTCGGTCATTGTTTTCCAAAGCACAAGCGGATGTTTGCAAATGTCTTGTTTTGATTAAACACGCATGATAATCGGTCTGCTTTCATGAAGAGCTACAGTAATCAGAGAATAATTCCTGTTGAAAGGCTGAAATGTGAGGATTTGGACAGTTGTAAGTTAATGGCTCTAAAGGATTACTCGGTGACTAAAACAGTTGTCGATTAATCAATACATTTTGACACCCCTCGTTTCCATCCAAGGATGCCAACTTGTCTCTTTAGCTGCATGTGAACAAAAATAGCTGCTTCAAACAAACCTCTGAGACAACGATGAAAAAGTTTACAAATAAAGCAGCACTATTGGCACCAGTCTATGTATGTGTGTTTGTGTAGAGTACACATTGGGCCATACCTGCCCACTGCTCTGCAGATACAACACCAGTGGCTCAGCCTTTGTGACAGCCGCCCACATTTTGGTCCAACTCTTTCCTTTCTCCTGCACATGGAGGTGGCCACACAAGAGGCAGTTCTCCCCTGTCAATGATGCTTGCCTCTAAAACAGATGACATGCGACACCGCTTCAGTACAAATACGGTAAAGCACCGGTGCGTTCGGGGACACGGCGGAATGTGAAAGACAACAGGCTTTGCGTGTTGTATTTGAATAGCAAGTTCCACAGCACATTTTGACTTGTTCACCAATAGGAACAATTTTAAGTAAGACCCAATGGAATGTTTCATAATTATTGTGACAACTCGCTGATGTGATCAGTGTCTTCTCAGAAATGAATATATTTAATCATTAACTATAACATATGAAGGTAGTTTGAGCAAATTTATTTCAAAGGTGTAGTATATCAAACTAGTAGACCTCGCCTTAATCAGTACCCAAGAAGGAGCTGTTAGTTTCAAAAAGGTTGGTGACCCCTTGTCTATTGACTGCCTATCGGGGTCCTCGGTTTCCGACATACATTTCGCGGCATAGTGTTACCACTGTACGTAGTGTTTTATAACTTCAATTATCTTACATCTATGGCCTCTGAGAGTTTTTGTTCAACAAATATTTACTGTAAAAAATATTTACTTAATTATGCATCAGTTTAGGCTCCTGAGTGCTGCAGGAATGGACCCCCTGTAAATGTGCATGTATATTTGAAGTAACATTTTGTACTTTTTGGTTATCATTTTAGTGTGATGACCCACATCCCAATTGTTCCTCCTGGGAGTAAAAAGACCTAACTGTGTCACTTGAACATGGTAATGTACACCCAGCAAACACTCTGATTTTCCCTAGATTACCACGCAGAATCTAAAGTGATCTAATAAGATAAAAAAGGAGTAGTTATTGAAGTTGCAATTGGCTTTGCCTTAAAATGGCACTGTTTTATACTTTGCTGCTTGTTTGTAATATTTTGCTCCTTTCTTTGTACAAGGCGAACTGCTGATAGAGCCCTCGATATCATTAACATTTGCAGCTGTACATAATGTATCCAGTGAGTGTATGATTCTCACAGGGGTTTGTCTGAGACAAAAGAAACGTAGACGTCATCTTGAACCCAATACGTCTGTGAACTCAAAGAAAGAAAAATGATGGTGATGGCAGAGACAAGAGTCCAGAAGTGACTGTCACCAGACGGTACCGTGAAAACAATACGCCATGGTAACCCTATACAGTAGATGTCCTTTCATTCAAAGGGCAGAGTTTGCTGAGCCAAGAATGTAATAATAATAATAATAATTGTTATTATTATTATTATACTAATAATAATTATTATACTAATAATCATAATAATAATAATGAATAATATATTGATCAATATTTCTGAATTAAGGGTTAGGTTCTGTATCAGGTGGATTTTCTTTTCTGAAACGTCATACATATAAATGACAACGCACAGTTAAATCTGTATTGCGCAAGCTTTTTTTACATCAGATACTGTAGCTCACAAACCTGATGGAAAGACACCTTTGAAATCAGCGTAAACATTTTTACGGACACATAAAAAACATCTTGATTAACCTGTTTTATTGCTGCATTGTTTAACGCAGCAATGTCACATGTGAGGGATTGATGTACTGGGCAGCCGTTTTGGAAATGATTCAGTTGGTGGTTCGGTCATTGTTTTCCAAAGCACAAGCGGATGTTTGCAAATGTCTTGTTTTGATTAAACACGCATGATAATCGGTCTGCTTTCATGAAGAGCTACAGTAATCAGAGAATAATTCCTGTTGAAAGGCTGAAATGTGAGGATTTGGACAGTTGTAAGTTAATGGCTCTAAAGGATTACTCGGTGACTAAAACAGTTGTCGATTAATCAATACATTTTGACACCCCTCGTTTCCATCCAAGGATGCCAACTTGTCTCTTTAGCTGCATGTGAACAAAAATAGCTGCTTCAAACAAACCTCTGAGACAACGATGAAAAAGTTTACAAATAAAGCAGCACTATTGGCACCAGTCTATGTATGTGTGTTTGTGTAGAGTACACATTGGGCCATACCTGCCCACTGCTCTGCAGATACAACACCAGTGGCTCAGCCTTTGTGACAGCCGCCCACATTTTGGTCCAACTCTTTCCTTTCTCCTGCACATGGAGGTGGCCACACAAGAGGCAGTTCTCCCCTGTCAATGATGCTTGCCTCTAAAACAGATGACATGCGACACCGCTTCAGTACAAATACGGTAAAGCACCGGTGCGTTCGGGGACACGGCGGAATGTGAAAGACAACAGGCTTTGCGTGTTGTATTTGAATAGCAAGTTCCACAGCACATTTTGACTTGTTCACCAATAGGAACAATTTTAAGTAAGACCCAATGGAATGTTTCATAATTATTGTGACAACTCGCTGATGTGATCAGTGTCTTCTCAGAAATGAATATATTTAATCATTAACTATAACATATGAAGGTAGTTTGAGCAAATTTATTTCAAAGGTGTAGTATATCAAACTAGTAGACCTCGCCTTAATCAGTACCCAAGAAGGAGCTGTTAGTTTCAAAAAGGTTGGTGACCCCTTGTCTATTGACTGCCTATCGGGGTCCTCGGTTTCCGACATACATTTCGCGGCATAGTGTTACCACTGTACGTAGTGTTTTATAACTTCAATTATCTTACATCTATGGCCTCTGAGAGTTTTTGTTCAACAAATATTTACTGTAAAAAATATTTACTTAATTATGCATCAGTTTAGGCTCCTGAGTGCTGCAGGAATGGACCCCCTGTAAATGTGCATGTATATTTGAAGTAACATTTTGTACTTTTTGGTTATCATTTTAGTGTGATGACCCACATCCCAATTGTTCCTCCTGGGAGTAAAAAGACCTAACTGTGTCACTTGAACATGGTAATGTACACCCAGCAAACACTCTGATTTTCCCTAGATTACCACGCAGAATCTAAAGTGATCTAATAAGATAAAAAAGGAGTAGTTATTGAAGTTGCAATTGGCTTTGCCTTAAAATGGCACTGTTTTATACTTTGCTGCTTGTTTGTAATATTTTGCTCCTTTCTTTGTACAAGGCGAACTGCTGATAGAGCCCTCGATATCATTAACATTTGCAGCTGTACATAATGTATCCAGTGAGTGTATGATTCTCACAGGGATGTGCGTGCGTGCGTGCGTGCGTGCGTGCGTGCGTGCGTGCGTGCGTGCGTGCGTGCGTGCGTGCGTGTGTGTGTTTTATGGCTTACTGTCTTGGTGTCTCACCTCAGGCGCTGCTTTCCTCTTCTGTTCACCACCATTGAGATTTTCCAGACTTAGGCTGGCCTCAAAACACTCCGGGCACACTCGACTTGTTTTGTTGTCCAAGGTTTTTGAACACTTTGCACATATGGCCTGTGGGATTGATTGACTGTCTTTATTTCAAAGATGCAAACAAAATTAACATTATTTGTAAGAAATATACAAATAATATATATTGCTGCTGTCCATTTTAATCATTTTTTTAATATTAATGAGATGTCCGAAATGAAGACACCCAATTAACGTAAGAATAAAAAAAATAAAAATAAATAAAAAAACAACAACAACAAAAACTGGACATGCGTTTTTTTTCACAGTCCAGTGACAATATATAAACTAATCATATACATGTTTGATTAAGAAAGAAACGCACACATAATTTATAAAATTTTAACTCCTCGAGATGGCACTCTTGGTTTAAGGATGCAGTGGAAATTTCATTTCCATTGTACTAGTCTTTATCTTTAAACCAAGAGCATCATCTCGAGGAGTCAAAAATATCAGAAGTGCTTGATGAAGCGTCATTTTCCCAAGAGTAATAAATGCATCCATCCATTTTAGAATCCGTTCAACCTCACGATGGGGCGTACTTTCCCAGCAGTAGGCAGGGTACACCCTGAACTGATTGTCAGCCAATTGCAGGGCACACATAGACAAACAACTGGTTTAGGGTGTCCCCTGCCTACTGCCCGAAGACGGCTGGGATAGGCTCCGGCACCCCCCGCGACCCTTGTGAGGATAATGCGGATCAGAAAATGGATGGATGGGTATATATAATATGCTCACCCCTCCACAGGACTTGCAGTGGTGTTTGCGTTTTGTGAAATTGAAACTCTCGTTGCATCCTTTACACGTTTGCTTCTCTTTATCTTTCTTTCTTGAACTCTTCTGCAAAAATAACAAAACAAAACCAAAGTGTCAAGATATGCACATAGTTCAGCACAACACAAGAAATGTATACTCACCCTTTCATGCAGTCTTTCCCCATCCGAGTCGATGGACGTGTTGGACCAGGGTCCCTGAGAATACGAACGCAAACGTGAGCATCACAGGCTTATTTCTGCAGTTATGCATCCCTTCCACAAGGTGTCAGTCTAAAGTCACAGAGGAAGCCAGTTGTGTTTGGCTGTGCACCAGGCGCAGCAGCTTAAAGTAGGTCAAAGCAGATCCATAGGAATCATTTTTGACTTGGGCTTTCCCTATAAGGTCATGCGTGAGGTGTGGGAGACTAGTCGTTATGCGAAGAAGAAGAGCATCTTAAATTGTGAATGTGTGTATGATTCACATTCATATATGGAGAATTGTTCAAGCAGACCAGATGATGGTAAATGTACTTGGTGCCTGGTATGGCTCATAATTCATCACTGACCCAATCAATCAAATGTTCAAGGTGGTCTTACCGGTGATTCCGGGGCGTGGTCATCCTCCCGCGAGAAGGAGCTGTTGAAGGCTTTATTGAAAGTCTCGCTGTTTTGCTTGTGTCGATCAATCGTGGCCTGGATGACCTGAGTGTGAACAGAGATTTGGAGCAGATGATGATGATGATGATGGAGGACAGGGAAGGAGATGAACGAGATATGACTGAGCTGCAATGATGTACAGTACACGGTTGGAATCCATTAATTAACAATATGTTGATTGCTGTTGGGAGTTTGGAGTGGTGGTGGTGGTGGTTTCTTTCCAGTAGTTTGGTTACCTTACCCTATTCAGCCTTACCCTTCTCATGCATTAAACCCTCCTCACAATCCAAATCTTTTGAGTGTATGTTCCACTGTCTGTCAGCTTTCACCCTCAACCCTCTGTGCAATGAGGCCACCTCTTCTTCAAGGCCGCCAAACTCATAATCAGCTTTTCTCTGCTGTAATGAGCTCAATGAGCCATTATCGAGAGGCTTTAGTGGAGAATAGTGTAAGCCCCCAACACCATGTGGGTGGGCAGGAAATCTTTTGTGAGTGCATTCTCTAATTCAGCTGAACCACCACAAGGGTCAGGTCTGACCCCCAATTTCCCGGCAAAACGCTCACCCACCCCTGCACCTCCACACGGAGATTGCTCAATACCATGCACCAGAATGTTGCTTTGTTTGTTTACACACATTTTTTTCCAAACTTTTCAGCCAATGTTCCATCAAAGAGTCTCCATTGCCATATTCCAGCGGCACCATTAAGGCACTCTTTTTTGAGGTGAGTTTGGTACCCCCAAAAGATTTGTGTTGCTTTAACTTACCTGAATCCAGTCTTCTTTTTCCTCAGCTGTCCTATGGGAGAAAACCACCATCATATATGTGTTTTTCACTACTTTTAAACCTTTGACACTTTCTGTATGTAATGTTGCTTATCTTTATACTTTATGATGTGATAAGATCAAGGTATCCATTTTTGCATCCTGGATTGGATGCCAGCCATTTGCGGGGCAATTAACCATGAACACTCACATTCAAATGGGAGGAAGCTGAAGTGCCCACTTATTAAAACTGTCAATTATATCAAGTCTTAAAGTGACTTATGTAAAGCAAATGATGCAGTTTTCCAATTATTTTATTGTTTGACAACAGTTATTAATACTGTATGATAAAATGATGATAAAGCTTTGAACGTTTCTGTGGTGTCTGTTTAAGTGTTTTTACCTGGCTTGAAGTTCGAGTGAACGTTGTTTGCCAATAATGGCAAATGTGTGAGGAAGATTCTGCTTCACGTTCTCCTGCAACTGAGGAAACAACGAAGCGTGATGATTTGCATTCATGAAATTTAAATAGGTCATCTTGAGGCAAAAAAAAAAAAAAAACCCAAAAACAATCCTATAACAAAGTACCTCCATGCCAGCAATGTCAATTCTCTCCCTAACGCTGAACTTCTGCCCCATCAGTCGGAGTTTAGGCACACAGTAGAGTACCATGTTGTTAAACTAAGAGAGAGAGAGAGAGAGAGAGAGAGAGAGAGAGAGAGAGAGAGAGAGAGAGAGAGAAGAAAAAACATCAAGTTGGGGCTCTTCTCTGTGAAAATCCTATCTCGCGCTGTCATTTCATTCTCACCAAGTAGAGGTATCTGTCCTGTGCTGTTCCATTTTTGGCTGACATCTTCTTGATATGTCCTTCCTTGATAAGCTCATTGGCTGGGTTCACAATGTCCTCCTCCCCTCCCAGCCTCTCATAAACCTCAAGCAGTTTGTGCATCTTCTCCTGGAAACATCAGACAGAGCAGGAATGAGATCCACACCACAAGATGGCGTTGTTTTATCAGAACAGTCATCCATCGCTTTGCTGGCCAGGCAAAGAGCAGGTATTATATTTCTTGATCGATCATTTGACCACATTGGGAGGTTTCAGGGAAGTAAGGGATACAAGTCAGACCGAGAAGTCAAAGTGATGAAGAGGATGGGTGTCACGCCAAGCCAGTCAGACATCCGCACACTGTGAAACTTGATGCAGGAAACAGCAACTTCCTGTCTGAACCAACTCAGTGTGTTCACTCCCTCAGACCAACACTTGCAGCAACAATTCAGCATCAGCAGTGCGTCATATGAGTGTTGTCATGCATAGAGTTCAATGAGACGGTATTGGACAGATTTTTGTTGAGCCTCACCATTTTCTTGATTGCCGCGTTGGAGTGATTGGCCGCAGTAGATATTAACTCCAGTGCCTCTGTAGAAAAGAGCATAAATATGTGAGCATGAAATTTGAAATGCGCAAAAATGAGACTGTTAAGACGGGAAGTTATGTACATGGCCATTCTTAACTGTGGAGGAAAGCCTGTTGAAAGTTGCGAGCAACACCAGTGTGATAAACGACTGTGGAATGTGGAGTGGATGAGGGAAAACCCTATAAACTAAACAAAGGGTTGAACTTAAGGCTTTTGTAATCGGACACTGTGATGCTGGAGCATTTGAAGTCTGATCTGACCTTTCCAGAACCAGAGTGCTACACCCGATCTCAAAGAAAGACTCACTACAATGTGCTATTGTGACTCAGACAGACAGCGAAGGTGATGATGAGTGTTTTGCTGCTCTCACTTTCTGCATCCTTTCGGTCAAGAGCATCTTCGGGCAGGTTCTTCAGGTAGTCTTTGAGCAAGAGCTCATAGCGGGGAATCCTCTGCACCGGTTCGAGCATGTGATGCTGCAAAGTCAAGTTGCCGCAAACGTCCTGTTTCTGCTCATCGCAGTGTGAAAAACAAACATACAGAAACTCTCAACAGACACATTCGGAAAACCGGCAAAATATTCAGATCCAAAGTAAAGTTGTCTTTGAAGTGACGCTGACACAATTTGTTTTCACTTGCGGTTGTGCTTGTGTTGATTAGTCTGACGTTGTGACATTATTTCTACAACTGTTGTAGAAAAAAGTGTATATACAATTAAATTAACCTCTGGCTGCTAAAAACTGAGCACTGAATTTTGCATCCGTTTCATTTTTTTTCCAACTCCTCCAGTAGTGGATGTGCAAGTGTACCTAATGAAGTGTATGGGTGGTGTAAATATATTGTGGGCATGAATTCTTGAAGAGCTGGGTCGATTACTCGGAGGCGCTGCTATGAAGATTTCTTCATTGACCAACTGGGTCAGGTTCAGAAGGGGTACCTGCCTCTCCAAAGGCGCCTCCCTGCAGCGTTTTCATCTTGTCAAATAGATTTTACATAATTTGAACGAACATTTCATCATACAATATTGAGACGAATGTTCCCCACTCGGCATACATTGCAGTCTGGCATCCTGGAAGAGGGATGCCCCCACCTGCGGCCCCTTCTCAAGGTTTTTTCTTTTTTTTTTTTTTTTCAAGTTTTTCCTTGCCCTCCTGGAGGTTAAGGTCAGGGGATGTCGCGAAAATTTGTCAACTGTGGGCATGTGAAGCCCTTTGAGACTGTTTGTGATTAAGGGCTATATAAAAAAATGTGACTTGACATGAATTCCAAATGACTGGGATTCTGAGACATGATCACATTACTGTGAGCTAGGACAAGCCAGTGAAAAGGAAATGTCACAAGAAAGTCCCTTGGCTATGAACCAAAAGTGAATGACTTTGTTTGAAGTGCCACAGTAATGTGACATGAAAAAATAGCACCATGCCCACTCAACACAACACAATACACACAAACCTGTATATTTTGGACGACGCCCTTAAACTGCGAAGACCGTTGTGTCCAGGTGTTGACCAGATCCATCGCTCGGTCAAAATTTTTCACATACTCGCCATACATCTTCATGAAAGGTGCCAGTTTCTGAAGGATGTCCCCAATACGAGGGTTGGAATTCCTGCGGGGGGAAAAAAACAAAACCAAAAACAGCACTTAAAGCTTGATTAAAAACAACTCAGATCCTTACGAAGACAAGTTGCGTGTTAAAGCACAGAGTGTAGCTACATTACCTCGTAAGGAAATTGAACAATTATAGTTCCAGTTCCAGTTTCAACACTGTGACAATGTAAAACCTCTAACAAGAGTCCAATACTAATGCTAATGCTAATCATCCTGATTGCTAAGTGATCGCCACAGTCTCTTGAATGCTACGGGTGGCGGATCCTCCTCACCATTCTCCAGTGATGCGTGTCTTGAGCTCTGGGAGCAGGAACTTGTCATGAAAGCAGTAGATGGAGGAGATGTTGGAGAAGATCCCTGTAATGACATCCTGAGGGATTCCGGCCTCTGTGAGCTTAGTGCAAAATACCTGCAGAGAAAATATGCGCACGACATACTGTAATTTCAGTGTGAAAAACACGTGACGTTGATTTTGGTTAATAAAGCGAGAAAAAAAAGGGACAGGTGTATGCCGCATACCACGAAAATATTTTAGTCATGTCCATTAATATAATGTCCAAAAATGTCTCATGGCATTTCACTTGATTATAACGCACTTTTTATGAGGGACGGAAGGCTGAAGGAAGGCTCAAGGTTGTTGATAACTAAGCTGCATAAATATGACACATGATTCGAGAGTATTTTCCTGTATCAACTTGTCTTGTAACTTGACACAACTCACCGTAGTGACTAACAGTCGACTGTCAAAACTTTTGGGGCCAGCAGAACATTTTGACAATGCACCGATATTGAACGTGAGTGACAGAAAGCAGAATTTATGTCTGTTTTCATAACATTTATGAACATAAACCTTTGTGCAGCAAAGTTTTGACAAGCTGCATTAAAAAAAAAAAACTGAACCTAATTGGCTCACCAATGTTGTACACCAAAAAAGTAGACAAACTATGGTCGCCATGACAACAACACCATTTTAACAAGCCCTGTTTTAATTGATTCTGACCTATTCAATTATTAAAATGATCAAACATTTAAAAAACATTATATACCCAAATATATTCTGCAAAGTATAGTGTCAAGTATTTTTAAATTGGCCATAAGGCTCAGATTTGGAATTTCTCTGCGGTAATTAATTACATGCAGAACCTTTTGTTAGAGCCAGAGGCAAAGTCATGGATGGGCACAAACATTTCCATGAAAACCAATCAATGTCACATGAATGCCGGCGTGACAACAACAGGCGATGAACTGTTTCATGTGGAGTGAGAGCACCGGGATCACTACAGGAGGCAAAAATGTTCTGTGGAAAAACAGACTTTTTAACGTGCTTGTAGATGACCACCACGCAACCCACTGGACAACTTTGGAATTCCAATTTGCATCACAGTGTATGAGGAGATAAATGGAGTGTGAAACTCATTTACATTGAAATCAACCCTTTCGCAAAAAATGTGTCAAAAGGTGAAGTTATTCCTACTAAAACACAAGTCATCTCTTGGCATGCATCACTTTCGGCACCGTCTTAGATTGTTTTAATGAGCTTTCTAATTACAAACCCTGCTAATATTTTCAGAAACCCACACTTTTAATCCGTCATTAATCCAGGGATTTACACACAATTGTACACGTGGCACTCCGCAGACACCAGAGTTGTCAATCTGCTTGGATTGGAGGTAACCATTTCGTATATATCACATGCATGCAACAGAGTCAACGTTTGTCACAACTGCGCTTACTCCGATTCATTCGGTCCACAACGCTGCTTTCCCTGGATCACAGAACATTTACTTATTAATCCGGCTCAGCCCTGATCTTAATCACTCAGACCGCTGGCACACTCTGGAAATTGAAATTTGTACCCAAACATTCCGGCATGCTTACGAAAGCGCCAGTTGGCAAGACGTCACGAGGCTCCCATGAGGTTACCTGGTCGAGGAGGTCGAGCCTCTTGACGTAGGCCTCTTCAGTGTGGAGAAGTTCTTTGGCAATGTTCAGCAACCTGTGCGCTTCTGAGCACTGTGGGGCACATATCACACACGTACCAATTGAGTGCAGGGAAGACTACTACTGAAGTCACCCCAAAATGTTAATAAAGAAGAATGAAAATGTAAATGTAAAAAAAAAAAAAAAAAGTTATTTTACAATGCACTTGTAAAAAAAAACTCAGTTTCAGATTTGGCTTTTTTGCCTGAAAAGGCAAGACATTTATACTATTATGGGTACAACCAACAAACGGGAGAGATGTATTATGCGTAAAAAAAAAAAAAAATGGAAAAAAATCACTTCTGGAGCTGAGAGAGGATCAATCAGAGCCATTGCACAAACATTGGCCATTGCCGGTGCAATTATTTGGACTATCCTGGAGAAGGCGGAACACGTTGGCGATTTTAGTAACCAACATCAACAGCAACAGTGCAATGCCTATCCCAGAAACTGTAAACTACTCATTATCAAGAAGAATAGGAACGCCAGGCTAGAATTTGTCAAAATGCAAAAAGACGAGCATCAAGCGCCTGATCTGAAGGATACAAGACCATCTCATCTGTGATACATGGTGTGGCGCTCCTGTCATGGGTTAGTCTTGCAGGGCTTCTTCTCTGACCGTCTCATTTATCTTTATTACTGATGTTAACACATGATGACAACAGTAAACTCAGCGGTCTGCATTAAAATTTTTGTTTGTTATTTTAAAGAAAGCTGCAACCAAATTGAGTGGTGGATCCTGCACCATGCAGCAAGGAGCCAGAACACACAACAAAGACATTAACAGGGCTCAGTTAAAGAAGGTCTCAGACTGGTCAGACGACCAAGCTTAAACCCCGTGGACTTACGAAACTGAATTTCCATAATATCCTAAAACATTGTATCAACTGAATGAGCTCTGTGGCGAAAACCTGGAAAAGTCTCTCAAAAGAAGAGCAATGCCAAAATTTGGTAATGTCAATGAGTCACACGCTTGTTGCAGTCATTGCAAGTGCAGCGATTGCAACTTCATCAGAAGTCTTAATCAGCACTCATCTAGACTACGCCTGGCTGCTCCAATACTTTTGCGAACCTAAGGATGTGGTCTTCAATTACTGTTTACGCTACCTTCTCAGTTGTGTACGAGTTGCCAATGGAAATAAAAAATGCAACCTTGATCTAGTGTCATATTCATCTTCTAATTTTCAATTCGAATCTGTTTGGAAACGGAGAGAGTTGTGATGATTTGAGGGGAACTGATGTTTTCCAGAAATATAAGACGTGGGCTAACAGAAACAAGGATGTCTCTCAGTTAAGGGTGTACATTTGTGGAGTAAGTATGATAATTTGCTGAAAATGTATGCTTCAATTGTATTTTTTAAAAGAATACTTAACTTAAGAATTCACTTAAGAAGTGAATAAATATATGGAACCAAGCGCAAAATAAAGCGTATACAGTACATAGTGTACATTTTTGTTGGCATGATTGGGTGGAATTTTTTGGGCGTGACAAGTTTTGGTTTGGTTTTCGATTCATGACATAAATTTCATTCTGAGATGATGGAATTTGTGTTGGTGCTTCGATAATTTTCTTAATATGCTTGTCTTGTACAAAAGAGCATAGGTTTGGTCAGCAGCAACTTCGCCCAAGGGCTTTTCGTTTGGATTTGTTTTCCTGTAAAATTCTGGATTGACTGTTTCTCTTTTGACTGAAGTTGATCAGATAAATCAATCAAACAGAAAAAAATAATAAGAATTAGCCTCTGTTGCCTACAGGTGCCAAAATATGTATGGCACATACAGTAAGAAGCAACGAGGATAAGGATATGCATGGCCGATGCTGTCCACGATCAATAGTGTGGCTGAAGGATAAGAGAAAAGTGAAACGATCTTAAATGCGGGGAGCCTTTTATCCAGCATCCGACGCAAGCTCCTGTTACCGCTTGCAGGCAGGTATTCATCTCTCTCTGTAATTGCAGAGCCGTTTTTAGAGTCAAGTCGAGCACTTGTGGCCGCCAATGTGAGGTTGTCACGGCGTGTCGCATTTCGTGAGGAGTATTCTTACCAGGCTGAGATAATAATAGAGATTGGCTCGAGGAGGAAAGATGATTCAAAGGTGCCATGAAAATTCTTAGAAATGGCCATTTGTACAAGAGCTCCTGACCTTGAGCATAGTCAAGGCGTTTTGACAATGTTGCCTCATTCCCATACCGCTGACACCCTATTTTATATCCAGCTCACTTGTAAACGGATGACACGGCAACACGAGTCACGATCTCGCTGAATGCGACTTGAACTGAGGGTGACCTGGGGGACTGAGCATTAAACCCAATGTTTTTCTCAGATGCAGCTCATTTCCTACCTCAGCCTGTTCCTACCTTTGATTGTATTTGCGCTTGCACATTAATAATTAAACATTATTTTTGTTTTAAATTCCTCATTTAAATAATTCAAGCAACATGACAGTCCTCCAGAGATTGTAGTTGGAGAAGTAGTAGCTCATTTTTGGAACAGGGAACAGAGTTCAAAATTTTGAATCATGACTATGAGCTAAAAGTAATTAATATAGTCACTTGTAATGTGCTTTATGTAATTTGAAAAGTAACTAAGTTACTAATACCAGGTTACGTGACAATGCGGCGGAAGCATGTTCAGTAGGTACTCACTTTTTGTGCATCTGTCAGATACCCGGTTTGTGTGTCTGTGAGAGAGTTGATCTCTCCACTGCTCCCTTCATCCAAGTCACTGTCCTCATCCTGAGTCGAATCCCGTTTGTTGCTTAGGGTAACACAACAAGACACGCTCTCCGTTTCCGTGACACTGTCATAATGATCCTCCTCGTCAATGGCGTCCTCGTTGGGGAACACCTCCCCTTCCGCGGCGCACGACGGGCTGTCGATGCCGCTGTCCCGGTTGGGAATTTTGATCTGCTCCGAAGAGTCTGGATTGTCTAGAAACTCGTGGGAGGAGCCTTCATCCCGCTCCCTGTCGTCAAGGCAGCCATCGCCGTGGGTTATGTCCACCTCCACATCCAACGGGGTGTCATCGGAGCCGTCCATGTGCATAGACGCCAGGCAGGACAATTCGGGCACATCGTCATTTTCTTCAGAGGTGCAGGGTGCGAGTTTGTTCAAAGGGGAGGAGTCTCCCGCTATCTTTGCTGTGGTGTCCTGGTCACAGGAGGAAGTGATGTCACACGCAGTGTCCATTCTAAGACACAGGTGTAGCTGGGAGCGGGGAAGCGCCCCCAAGATGGGGACCCTGGGAAGAAAGGAAAGCAATGACTGCACACCGGACAGTGAGGCTAAAAAGCACATCAATGGTGAAACAAATTGAGGTGTGTTCATTCAATGAAAGACTTGCCAGCTATGTTGTTACCTTGTATTTTCAAACCTCTCGATGAGCAGGCCAACTTTCTGGATCTCCCTCTGCGGCTGCGCTCCCACCGCAGGGGGCACAACCCCAGGTTTGGGTTTCGGCGGTGGCGCTGGAAGAGGCCTGCAGGGCGCCGGCGGGATCCTCTTGGGTTTCTTGTCTTGCCCGAGAGCGAGCAGGTGCGACGGTTTAGGGGGCACTGGAGGAGCACATGTCCAGAAAAGGCAAGAAAAGCAGAGCGAGACACAAACATGAGGCTGCAGTCATCACGCGTGTATCATGTCGAAATCCAAGGGAGAAAACCTCCATGGCTCTCTGTAAGAATTAAGCCTGCCCGGTCCTCTCTTGAAAACAAAACAGCAGCACCAAACAGTAACAAAAAATAGCAGTGCTGAACTACTTCTTCAGCTTTCTGACAACTTCCTTATTTCAAACAGGATACTGAGATGCGTGTGCACGTGAGCCACCACAGTTCCTGTCTGTATATTGAGAAAAGATGCACAGACACAGTTGTGGATTATCTGAAGTATGCACACGGCGCTCATGCTTTCCTGCTCACGGTCCTCCATGACAAGTGTCGATCTTTTCCGAAATGGCTGACATGTTTGCGTTAACAGTGAGCTTCCTCTGTGTCTGTCTGTCTTATTTACCTCGATGCGTTTCTCCAAAGATAAATGGCACAGTCTGCCAAAAAGAGCGCCACTGAAGTAGGACGAACCTAAAATTGTGTATGCCAAATATAGCACAACATTAAAATTCTATTCTGTTCTTCCAAATATAAACTGAATTGAACCCCCCCCCCCCCAATTTCAAATGTAACAATGTTTATTAATTTGAGGCAATACCTTTATGGAATCTTATCATTTGTGACATGACAAATTAGATAACAACAACAGTTCCAGGCAATACAATACAAATAAACACATTTCACATGTGTCACTGTAGCAGTGCGTGCTTCATGTATGTTGACCATAGTTTTGAATATGTTCCCATTTTATGGATGAAATGATTTGAAAGCAATGACTCAGGTTCACTTTTGTGATTCTAACCATCGGTTGTTAATGGGAACTGAAATGTTAAGATTAGTACTAAGTGATCACACAGAGCACTGTTTTCAAGCTTCAAGCTGAAATAATTGTGGTATCCAGCCAGAAAAATGAGCAGATCAACTAACAGACCAGAAATGGGAATTAAGGGAATATCGAGTAAGTGTTACTATAGTACAGCACAAACTGTGGATGAATATAGGCCACTTGAAATTTGGGGCAGTGTTCAAGTGTGAGCTTCAAAAATTCCCCAAACACAGCAGATGTTCATAATTAGAAGATGTCACGACACAATCTCACGGGAGCCCCAGCTTGCGAGGAGGTGACCTAGTGAGCAGAGCAAGTGGCAGTATGAGGCCAGTGGGCAGACACCGACGCATTTTCCTTTCTTCTTTTCTCCACACACGCGCAGGTCAAAAACATCCATCCATCCATCCATTTTCTGATCCGCTTATCCTCACAAGCGGGCATGCTGGAGCCAATCCCGTTTGTCTTCGGGCAGTAGGCGTATCCTGAATTGGTTGCCAGCCAATCACAGGGCACACAAACGAACAACCATTCGCGCTTACACTCACACCGAGGGACAATTTAGAATGTTCCATTAACCTGCCACGCATATTTTTGTGATGTGGGAGGAAACTGGAGTACCCGGAGAAAACCCATGCAGGCACAGGGAGAGCATACAAACTCCACACAGGAAGGCCGGAGCCGGGATCGAACCCTGCACCTCTGCACTGTGAGGCCGACGCGCTAACCAGTTGACTACCGGGCCACAGGTCAAAAACAACTTCACGGAAATGGCGAGCGCATCAACGGCGGCTGCACTTGTGCCAAGCCGTTACCTTGAGGCTTCTGTGCAGCTGGCGGTCTCGGGGAGTTGGATGGCTGTGGCCGCGGCTTGATGGCGGGCTTCTCGTGACATGATCCTCTTTTTAGCAGCGATGGAGAACACAGGTAATCCGCTGAGCCATACTGGTACTGGGCGGAGGCGGCAGGGAGGTCTGAGGAGAACAAACATGAAGGAAGATGGCTTTGACGGGATCGTCCTTTAAAGGCACATGCGGTATTCGTGAATTGAAAACACTGGCACATGGCTTTGTGGGGGCAGTACTGAAAGCGTGTGACCTTGAGCTCACTATGTGTTCTCGGGATTATGTAGAGTAGGGAGGCCGTGTCACCGCATCGATTGGCCCAAGCGGCCTGAGGCAGCCGAGTGAGTTGCAGATTTGTATCTGATTGACTGTATTTAATCTTCTCGGGAATGCACAAACTGAAAGTGCATGCGAGTGTTTGACAGTCAAATACATTTTCAACTTCAAAGTTCACCTCCAAAGAGGTTTGATGAGAGCATGGCTCGTTTTTACCCGGCATCTATTTAGCCTCTTTTACATCCATGCACTGAATAACTGAGAAGCATTTTTAAAAAAGATGAAGCACCTGAAGGTTGTTTTCATTGTTCTACCTGTGAGTAAAGGAGCAAATGACATTGCAAGGACAGGAAGTGAAAAGTGGTCCGAAAACCCAACTGCTCAAACGCTTTTTACATGTCAAGTTTGTGCGTGTTTTTCAAATAAACCCATTGGGGGTGGAAAATAACTCTACTGTTGTTGGCATCAGACCAAAAATTGCCAGAAAATTCTGCATTGAAGAGATGAAATATGTGTGAAGATGAGTGAAATGGGAATAAATGGCATGCTTGGAACAAAAACAATCATTTGTGTGAACTCTAGATTTATGTGCTCTTCTCGCATAGCTTGGAGTGTTAAAGTAGGAGTCACCTCGAGTCTTTCTGCGTGACGTTTGCATGTTGCTTGCGTGGTTTTCATTCGATGCTCCAGCTTCCTTCCCCATTTCAAACACATGCATGGTAGGTTCAGTCAAGACTCTTTGACTCTGAAAGTTTGGTGGTCTTGTAGTGTCTTGTACTTGATTGCCAAATGACTTGCCAAAGGCAACTATGATGAGTTCGAACTCAGCAGTGAACCGATGCGGGATATCATGGATGGATGGGACGGAGGGACCGACGCAAAAACAAATCTAAAAAAACCCTATGTGGCAGTTTTATGTGCCCAAAATAATTTGTCTTTGTAGTGTAGGCATGTGAATATTGGTTGAAAGTGATTTTCAATTCATTCTGTGTTTTACACAACGTCCCAACTTGATTGAAATTGGGGTTTGTACGTCGAGTTTGGAGTGACGTTGTGGACTGCAGATTAACAAAAAACAGCACTGACCACATGGTAAATTAGACTCCAGTCAATACAAGCTTTCGTATCTAGAAACAAAACCAAAATGGCACAGGCCCTACACAGCAACACCTCATTTTATGTCTTCTCCAAGATGCTCCAGGTTCCAGGAGAGAATTCTCTCAGTAATGAGTCCCGTTACGCCTTTGACGCCATGTGGCACGCTGCAGGCTTCCCACCACCATTTTTGCTCCGTGGCATCATAAGAAGCATCTCAGGAGAGAAAAATGTAATCGCTAAGCCCTCACACTCTTATTAACAACTGCCCAAAACACATTCTATTAGCTAGAAGCAGACATTATTAGCACACTGTTAATCAGATCCCACAAGTTGATTGAGTCAGAGCACAAGACCTTTAAGTAAGTCAACGAGCATGTTTCTCCTCTAAATAAATGACTAACCAAGAAGTCTGTGACCAGGGATGTACAGGGGTCGCGGCTGGGAAAAACAAATAAGTATGGGAGATGGTGGCATAGGGGCTGGTACCTATGGCTACTGTGCATAGCCCAGCAACAGGAATGAAAAAAAAAAAATCTGGCCCTCATTTCAAAGCCCTGAACAGAAACTTGAGCATAGAGAATAGTGAAGCAGCTGATTGTTTTCCCAAATTAAGTGGCTTTGGTGGCATAGTGCTAAGAGTTTCAAAGGTCGGAGTTTGCTCTGGGGCCTCCATGGTCCTCCCACATTCGAAAAACACGCATGTTAAGCGCATTGTAGACGATATAATTGTCCTTGTCCATCAGCTGTAGAAAATATTGGTTTATAAATCAGTGAACATTTTGGATCCTGAATACATTTTTAAAAATCCTGATTGAATAAAAGCTGAGATCTGCAGACTTGGATCGCCTAATGGAGAGCAGAGTTCAAAGTAAACATGGTGAAGCTGTATTTAGCCGTTATGCTGCACACAAAAGAAACTACCAAAAGAAGTGAAGTCAGCCGTGAGAGTAAATGCTGAAAAATTCAGTTCAAAACTTGCCCCATACCTTTGATTAAGGTCTTCCAAACATCCTTTTTTTCCTTGTAGTTAGTAGTAGTAGTAGTAGTAGTAGTAGTAGTAAACCTACTCTTATTTCTTTACTTTTAAACGCTTTACCATTTCCCGTTAATGTGTTTAAGCATTGTCAATGTATGAACTTTGAGTAATTTTTGTAACCTGCTTTTGCTTTTCTTTACTTTGCCTCTGAATGTCTTTAACTGTTGTGTTTGCTTGTGTGAAGTACATTGAGTTGCCTTGTGGAAATCGGTCCCACACTGCAACTCACTCAAAGACAGCTCAGAAAGACTCTCGCTCACTCACGACTATATTGAGGCTAAGTGCTTCCGAAGATGGATTGACAGAAATTGATTTAAAATAAATATGAGTTACTGTTTCACAAGTTAGGTCATGAACGATCTCAACACAATTTTCATTATATTTGTTCAGACTGTAGACACATACAGAATTACAAATAAAAATTGTCTGGTATACATCCCATACCTTGTATCCATTGTTTCACAAAAAAAAAAAAATAATAATAGTAAAATAAAAAAAAAAAAAAAAAAAAACACCCCCAAGAAAACCAAGTCAATATTAATCCATTCAGAAACAACAAAAAACTCACAGCCAGATGTCCTTCACAGCTCATTCCTGCATTAACAAACACACACTTGTCCTTTCTCGGGCACGTGTACAGTATGTGGGCGTGTGCATTTTCCTGCCAAACCTGATCAAAGTTCCCCCTCCCAGGGAAAAAAAAAAAAAAATAAAAAAAAAAAAAAAAAAAAAAAAAAATACTCCAAGAAAACCAAGTCAATATTAATCCATTCAGAAACAACAAAAAACTCACAGCCAGATGTCCTTCACAGCTCATTCCTGCATTAACAAACACACACTTGTCCTTTCTCGGGCACGTGTACAGTATGTGGGCGTGTGCATTTTCCTGCCAAACCTGATCAAAGTTCCCCCTCCCAGGGAAGAAATGACGTGTGAGTGCGCCCAGACAACACAAATCCACCTTTTCAAAAGGCCCAGGAGTGACGTTATAGTAGACATCGAGACTATCTCTCCTCACGTTGGCAAACAGCAGCTATGACTGACACTGCATGTGTGTCATTCTCAGAGGGATTTTCGAACAGGCACACAATAGAAGAAACGGGAAGGTCTCATTAATATACTCAGCTCAGCCCGTTATTGAGAGTGGGATGAATGGGACAATTAGGCAGGAATTAGACATCTGAGAACCATTATTGGCACTCAGCTCTACTGGCTTCACGTCACCATGACAACCATCCGCTGCTCCAAATGTTGAAGCCGCTTTTCCTCACCGCATATTAATTTGCCGAAACAATAGCTGGTAACAGTTAACAAAAGAGCTGTCGTGTCACTCGTTTCGTCTTGTGGTTGATGTAAGACATGTCTCTCGTCACTTTAACGGAAGAGACCTGAGAGACAATGAATGACTGACAGTGACTGACAGCTGTTTATACATTTTCAGATACTTTTTGCTGTTGAACCAACGTCGATTCTGAAGAGTTCAGAATGTCCGCTGTGTGCTGAATTGCCTTCATTTTATTTCATCATGTGGTTGTTGAAAATCAAAACATCTCCAGATCTATTTTTAAGTAGTTGAGTCTACTTAAAAAAATGTATACACCACCAGTTAAAATACAAGAATAAGAGACCATACATGTTGAGAGAAAGTTTCTGCACTATGTCATGTACTCATATTTTCATTGAGCTGGAGCAACCCTGAGGGGAGTGACTTTCCCACAAAGCAACCATGGTGGAGATCATCATTAAAATGCTTGTTCTGACAAGGAAATTCAAAGGGAAGATCGAGGAATGAACAGTAGACCGAAAATGCTATTTTTGTCTAGCATCATACACACATAAATAAAAACCACTTATTATTATTATTGTTATTATTAACCACAACTTCTCGCAAGGATTTTTAGGCCAAACCACCTGCATGTGCTGTGTATTCTTCCATCACACGCCCTGGTAATTTCGACAATTAAATTCTGGTTTCACTTTTGTTTGAGGAACTAAACTAATTTGATTACTGCACAATCACAAACAAATCAAAATCGTCAGGATTTTAATCTTTTTTTTTTTTTTTTTAAACGGTCTACTCAAAAAAACGTATTTGGATCCAGAGGATTTTTGTTCATGCAACCACTTGATGAGATAAAACGGAATAAATTCAAGACACCCATTTTTTTTTCAGTTCATACTATGTCAAATTCCAAGGTAATTCCGACTGAATATTTACTTATTTATTTTCTTAATTTATTTTATGGGATTCCAAAAATGACCGGGCTGATTTTGCTCCACTTTCAGAACCTGAAAAAAAAATGCCACTGTTTATCACTAAGTCAAGTGTCAAAATACAGGATATTGCACTCTGCCGCTGACATCCTCCTGTCATAATGACGAGCGTGCCAAGTACATGAGAGACATAACATTCCAAATATATGAAGCTCTGAGGCAGCCTTGGCATTGACCTTTATTTGCACCATACTCGCTCCACTTTGCTTTGGATGATAAGGGCTTCATTTGTGAACAAGACCCAGGCAGAGACACGTATAGCTCAAGGTGATGCACAAATCTAGCTGCTTGTCAGTCACTGTCAACCCTTGGGCAATCCCCTCAGTGTCATTTATCACCCATCTTCCCTGCAGTACCGTCAACCCGCCCCAGTTCCGTATAGAAGACATATCAGAGACATTCAGCAGCATTTCTGCAAACAGACAGTCAATCAGCTCGACCCAAC